GAAGCTTTGTATGGCTTTAATAATAATTGTGGATGGTGTCCTCATTGCCCATCAACAAACCACACGCCCCACGCTTAAGTACGTTAAGATGGTGGTCCAAGACATCCATGCCTTCTGCTCACACCCCTGGGGTAGAGAGTCTTTTCTAAAGACTATAACTTGCATGAAACCTCCGAAGTTCGACTCTAAGAAGTGTCCTAATCCCCTTGGGACACTGGTTGACCAGCTAAAGCAGGAAACATTCAGACTAAAGGGATTTCCCCTGTCACTACAACTTCTGGCTTTCCAAGCCATTCCAAGACTGCTGTCCACAATCCCTTATCCATCTTACGTAGGGACCATTATGGATCTGGATGAAGATCATCTTCCTATTTACCCATCCATTAGCTACCTCGATATATTACGTGTTGAAGCTGAACCTAATGTAAGTTGCATTCTACTCCATCATCGTTTCTCTTTCCATTAGTAACTGTGGTTTCCTGATTTTGCATTCTGTTTGAATTCAGCTTGCAGTGACATCGTGCATACCTGTACAAAGTCAACCACATCCTGGATGGGGAGTTTGGCCTGATTTGTGTCACGATGACAAAGTCTCATACATGGAGGACTTGATAACAACCCATCAACCCTTTGGCAAGTATCTATGGCATGGTGGTGACACTTCTTGTCCTGTCCTCACCGCAAATGCAGAGGAGGAACCTGTTGTGAAGATGAGAACTTCAAAGTCANCTCCCAGACATGGCAGGTTAGTAGATCTGGTTTCATAACTTCTCTATCACACCGCGAACCCTATAGTCTCCGATTTTCTTTTCGTTTTTCGATTTTGAGTTCGATTATCTTCTGGACATCCTCTCTTTCATGTTTTTTGCACATGCGTCTCTCTTGGGTCCCTAATTTGAGTTCGTCTATGAGAATTTGTTTTTTTTTTGTAACACTTTGAACATGCATCTCTGTTTCTGAACTTAATACTAGCTTCTCTCCTTCTCTTTTACTTTTAGATCTACCTGACCTCAACCTCCCACCGAGCTCTTCGCCACCGAACGCTTCCCCAACGGACGACTTAACATCTACTCCAAGCCAGACCATCTTTCTTTCATCCGTCATGTCCTACGGGACACCGATGAGTTCCAGTTCATTAAAGACTCTTGCTTTGGGAAGCTATTCGATCTTCCCGCATGTCAATGCCCCGTATCGTGTAAATTGATACACGCCTGCCTCACCAGACAACTTGTTGTTGATGACCCTCACACTCTATGGACCGTATTTGCAAGTGATCCCATCAGGTTCGGTCTCAAGGAGTTCGACACCATCACAGGATTACCGTGTGGAGATTTCCCTATAGGCTACACGACGGTATATGAAGACCAGACTCAAGCTCACAAAGATCCCGACTGGATCAAGCTCTTAGGAATGAAGAAGTTCCCAACCATAGCTGATTTACGCCACAGGCTAGAGAAAGACACACGCATGCCTGGTTGGAAGAAGCTTTGTATGGCTTTAATAATAATTGTGGATGGTGTCCTCATTGCCCATCAACAAACCACACGCCCCACGCTTAAGTACGTTAAGATGGTGGTCCAAGACATCCATGCCTTCTGCTCACACCCCTGGGGTAGAGAGTCTTTTCTAAAGACTATAACTTGCATGAAACCTCCGAAGTTCGACTCTAAGAAGTGTCCT